TGAGTGATATTTCATTCTATTATGCATCTTCTCTAGAAATTGAAATCTGATTGGTTCAAAGCTGCGTTCTTAAAGAAAATCAGCAGGTATTTTTTAAATCCCCCACCCTTTTTATGAACGCTATAATTTTTGTAGTAAACAATATTTCTGAATTAAACTCTACTGATTTGTGTAGTGCCAAATATTCCTGATATACTAGACCATCTGTAAATACGCGTCATATTTCCCTGAGCATTAATGCACCCAACATTAATAATTTATGTCAATCACAGGGTCAAATGGGCACACGAAACAACAATGCATTCTCTGCCTTCCACTGAATTGAGACATTTTTGTGCCAGTTGAATTTATAGGTAATCACCTCATCCCTATGCAACTTATCTGCAATCTGCACTTTGTTTTGTCTTTAGGTTCGTTTAAGAATTGGATTGTACGTGGTATTTATCAGAGACTGGTTAGCTGTCTTCAAGAAGAAACAGTTTATGATTATTAAGCTGGAGGAAAGGTCGGAGAATGATAAGGGGGTGATCGAAAAGATATTAGAATTTCTCGAGATGCGTAAGATAATATTAATATTTATCACATACTATGTAGAATAATAGTGATTTGATTGGTTGCTTTCTATGACGTATTTCCCGTATCACATACTTTTCATATGATATGAGCACACGTTGTCTATGGTAACGAAATGGCGTCATACAACTACATTCCATTCTTTCATTTGACGTCATATTATTTCATGAAAAAGTAAGGATTCAACGGTATGACGTCATATTGTTTCAAAGCGAAATTTCAAAACACACAAAAATTACAATAGTTACCGGGAGTAACAGTACTGAACACAATCATAATTGACCAAAGAAAAATGCTTCAAGATTCCTAAGCATGTGATAAAATTGTCATCACACGTTTCAGCTTATGTGATACAGGAAATATTCCACTCAGATAACAGTGTATCACCACTCAAGCTTCGCTTTCGTGGGTGATACAGTGTTACCTTTCATGGAATATTTCCTGTATCACATGCTGAAACGTGTGATAACTGATAATACTTTACTCTAAAAGCCTTACACCTCTCCCAAAGGGCTTTCCAGTCCCCCCTCCCAATTTAGATATGACCATTTTAAAGAATAGACATCAAAAGCTGATAGAGGTATTTGTTGGAAAAATGTCAAACATGAACTTCTTTAAGCGCTTTTTGGAGGTTTCGAAGAATTATTGTTCAAATCGGTAAAGTGTATCGCAAATGTATTTTTGAAATGTATCAAAAGGAGAATACGATGAAAAATAAGAATATAGGACATAAAACCCATTTAGATTTAATGCTAATGTTGTGTTATCACTTTCTAAATTAGGCAAATTGACTCCACTCGAGGAACAGGTCCTTGCAGTACAAGCCCACGCCAACACAAGACGGAAAGAAGATGTCAAGATGGGCCCGATGTTCGAATCCACTGCGAAATTATTAGACGATTTCTACAAACCATACAATGACCAACTTATTGAATTACTAGATGATGCTCGTTTTAATTGGACTACACATATTTGAAAATCTAATTTTGTCTAATTGTCTAATCATTAATAAAGAAAGAAATCGCAATTAATACGTTACGTCAATTAAAAGAGCGATATGCCAGTAACTTGAAAAAAAAGAAAAAAAATTGCCCATGTCCAGATTTAGGCATCATCAATCGCACATGTACAAAATGGCTTCCATTCTAAAATAGAAAACACAACTCGATGGCACTTTTAGCCACATTATTCGACTTCTCAATTAATAATTCGATTTTCATATTTTTTGTTTTGTTCTGCAATTTCATTCAAACTTTCAAATCTACATTCGGCATTAAAGAGAGAATCAGATATAGCGAGCAGGCTAAACAAAAAATTGTTTCAATTTTAGAATATTTTTGGCTCATGTCTTTCCTTGTCATGTCTATTTTCTAAAAATCACAAAAGTGCATACTTTATTCCAGGAAAATTAAAGATTTTTACAATAATATATTATTTTTCTATAAGAATGGTTACCATTTTTATTATTTGGGAGAATTTAAACATTTTTCACCCATTTTTGCACTTTGAATCATTAATAACTTCACCAATTTATAACATATTGTGAATCTTTTGGGAGATATTGTATTTGATAGTGTAAGGAATACATTCGTAGGTCAATTATACATGTTGCTTGTAATTTCGTCAACCCCTATAGATCAGATTCTGCCTTTAAATATTAAAATATAAGCGAAATGCTTGAAAAAACTTCCCCGATTCATTCTACATACAACTTTGATCCTTTATGATCTCCTTGTCATCTTATATGATCATTGACAAATTGTTGAAGAGTACTGTTTCTAAACGGCTACATCGCATTTCAAATATAAAGATTAATGGGAGCATGATTTCCAAGAGTTTCTAGCTCTTAGAACATGTTTTAATTTGAGACAAGTTTTGAAATAGAGCAATACAGTATCCCGGCCTTTAAAATAAAAATTACTAATGTATCTTATTCTCGAAACATGTTTTGATTTAAGACAATTTTTGAAATGGAGCAAAATAGTATCTGGGCCTTTAAAACAAAAATCACAGGCAGCCCCAAGCAAACTAGGGTCAGGTTTTAATTACTGCATAAAGTTGGGTGAACATGGGAAACCACAGCAAATTGTGTAACTTTAATCGATAAATGACATCCATTTCACTATTTTACAAAAATGTTATGAAAATAAAAAAATTGTTTGAAAACATCATCAAAATCATCTTAAAAATACATTCATGATGTTAACGTTTTCATTCTGGGTGCATCACACTGGTATACGAATTATGTAATATACACCCCCTCCATAAGTTTGGCAACCTTTGCCCCCCCCCCCCCATTGAACTACGTGTTAAAGCCTCGTTACATTTGAATTTTTATTTACCTAACCTGCGATTAAGATACTTAAACTATTAATGGAAACGTAATTTAACTTTATTTCCAATACCTCCAAATTTTCTCATTTTTTCCTCAGTTACAATAGGTCGAAAATTGATGATAAATTTGATGAATTTTTGAAAATCGACATTCCCATGTTAACCAATGTGTAATGGAAGGTTTGCCGCAAGTCATGTGACAGAAGATACATCCATCCGAGTCCTTGCAAAAAATACAAGTTGGGTAACCAATAGAATTTACTAACCTTATTTACCAAAAAATGTATAGGTTTCTTCAGGTTCAACAAAATTATCAGGTTATAGGTCTTTAAAGTCAAAATTGAAATAACACAAGAGGCGAAACTGATTTTCAAAAATGACTTTGAAGCTCTTTAACTTTAGTATTCATCAAGTAAACACTTAGTGTACAAAAAAGTTAGACAATTCAATTTTCTACATAAAAATATTTTTTGCTGAATTTTTTACCGAACAGATATCCTGGTTTCTGATTTGCCCCGAACCCACCATTTCTCATTGGTTTACATGGGAATGTCGATTTTCAAAAAATCATCAAAATCATCAATTTCGACCTGTAATTGAGAAAAAAATGAGAAAATTTGGAGGTATTGGAAATAAAGTCAAATTACGTTTCCATCAATAATATACGTATTTTAAACTGCAGGTTAAATATTAAAAATTCAAAGGCAAAGAGGCTTTAACACGTAGTTCAATGGGGGAGCAAAGGTTGCCAAACTTATGGAGGGGAGCGTACATTATGTAAATAGCGTGATATCTTGTAGTATAATGTTTTGTATAATGACAGCTTAGTTTAGTTTAGTGTAATGTAGTATACTGAAGGTAACGTAGTGTAGTACTTAGTAGTTAAGTATAATTATCTCTGCAAACTGATACGCCATGCTATGACATCTTATAATAAATTACGATAGGGTAAGGATTAAAAGGTGGATTGAATCGGTGGATTGGATTCATGTAAAAGGTAGATTGGATCGGGAATCTTCAAAATAAGGAATTTCACTGGTACTCACCTAGTTACGCTGACGATACGTCAGCGTAACAAGATGGAAGAACTTCCTGGCTTCGTTTTTGGTAAAATATTTTTATTTCTCGATTCTACACCCCTTATAAGTTAAGTTGTAGGCAATACTTTGGCTCAAAGTTAAGGAAGATAGTCTAGTTTGAGATGCGCATATTAGTCTAGTCCTGCGCATATTAGGTAGAGTAACTCCCCAGTCACATTTGTCGTACGGAGGCCGTGCGTCGACCGCAGATCAATTAAATCAGTGAATTTCTGCGGCGAGCGTAGTTTTTCTACGCTTGCGGTCTCCGTACGGCGTATCCAGTTTGTACAGGTTGCAGGGTAGCCGTAGAAAATATAAGTCGGAGTTACAATATTTTTCATTTCTGCGGTCCCCGTAGAAATCAACAGGCCGTTGCTAGACCGTAGAAAGGTCCTACAGTGGCGGCAAGTCGGGTCTACCGTTGACTTGCGTCTGCTGTAGGGTTTGATGGGTAATGTTCCTTTGGAAACAGTTTTCAAGTCAGTTTCGCAACACAATACGTATATTTTTTGATGTAAGGTAACTGATAACACAGCAACTTACATTTCACTTGACCTTTTTTCGATACTATATCCTAACATGACTACAAACAGATTTTTTAAATTGTACTCATGTAGATGAAATAAAAATAAGAATTAACGTTAAATCAGCAGAAATTCAAAAACTCGCCGTGCGGCTGCCGTAGGAAATGGGACTGTAAAAGTATCCAGCTGCAGAAATTCCACGGCGAGCTTAGAAATGTTACAACCCAGTCACATTTGTCGCACGGCGGCCGTACGTCGACCGCAGATCAATTAAATCTGTGTATTTCTGCGGCGAGCGTAGGGAAACTACGCTCGCCTTGCGGCCTCCGTATGGCGTATCCAGTTTTTTACAGGCCGCAGGGGCGCCGTAGGACTATAACTCGGAGTTATAATATTTGTTCATTCCTGAGGTCCCCTTAGAAATCAACTGGCTCAACAAGATTGAATCATTATTTGTCAATGTTTCACGATCACTTTTCATTTGATATTACATCATAGCACTATGAATAACATTTATAAATTGTCCTGATGTAAATAAAATGAAAAAAGTATTATAAATTTAAAATTCACCGTGCAGCTTCCGTGGGAAATGTGACTGCAAAAGTATGGGAGCGCAGAAATTCTACGGCGAGCGTAAAAGAGCTACTGGCCGCAGAAGTGATAGGCCGCACGGCGGCCGTATGAAATGTGACTGGGGTGTTAGACTAACTGTAACTCAGAAATGCAATCCCTTGATTTTCTTAGGACTTGTGTATACTGCACCGTCGGGTAAATCCTCGTATATAGGATTGGGTTCTGTTTGTTCCTCTTTTGGATCAGTTTCTTTTACCTCTATCTTGGAATACGACGCATCACTCCACCTTTTCACACCCGTACGGTCTTTGGGCAAAGCAGGAGGTATGTTCTGCGATCCTGTTGTCTCATTAATGTACGTAGTGTCAGGCTCCTCGTCAAGAGGTACTGGTAACATTGGCTTGTGGAAATTTGACGAAAGTGTGCTTGTCCGTTTATCTGGATCTCTTGGTGACGATACTATTCTCCGAGGTGGGTATTTCTTCTTAAGTCGAGGGTAAACAAATTTGTACAGTAAAAACAGAATCAGAATGCAGAGCAGTATTGTACCGATAAAAGTACCAACGATTGCCCCTGCCAGTGTTCCCGCAGCTGCCACAGCTATTCCTTTACGTTCAAAACGTTTACCACGCTGTATGTCGATGGTAAGCGATTTTCTAGATGATGGGCCCTCGATGTTTTTCGCTAAACATTCGTAATTCCCCGAGTCTGACTGAGACGCTCTGTCAATTTTATAAATAATTTGATTAGAATAAATATACGACGATTTGTTTTGCGCCTGTGGGTTCTCCTGTGAGGTTGACCCAGAAGGATGTCGTACAAGTATAGTAGGCTGAGGGTCACCTTCTGCTATGCATAGTATCGTAAACGGCTCTCTGCCATATATGTCATTGTCCCCGGCGAATCGTGTGACAACTGGTTTACGACATGTCATTCTTGACAGACTCAAAGTCGACATTTCGGTGCTAAATGGTGTTCTGCAAGATGCGGAAACATTCCTCCCTTCGGACGACGAGTCGTCAAAAGATTTTTTCAACCACTGTAATTCACAATTACAGTGGAATGGATTTCCTTTAAAATGGCACTGATCAAGCTTTTCTAAAGATGGCAGCATTGTTTTATCTAAGCTAGTAAGTTTATTGTTTGAAATGTCTAATTCTTTTAGTTTCATCATATGGTCGAAAATACTGGGTTCTAAAACAAAGATGTCGTTGTCTGCCAAACTAAGATGTTGAATGTCTATGAGCGGAAGGAGATTTTCTCGAGTTATGGTTGTCAGGCCGGTATCACTAATGTCGAGAATGCGAGCGTAGCGAATACTTGGAAACCGACTAAAGTCAATGTTCCCTATGGGATTACTTCTTAAGTACAACCTTTCCACGTGTACGTTTTCCAGAAAGTCAATATTTGATATATTATTGTGACTAAAGTCTATGTGTATTACTAGGTGTTTTTGCCAAGTTAATTTGTCAACTGTTTGAATGTCATTATGAGACATGTCAATGTGCATTAGATTCGTCATGTAGTCAAAGGTTCCCGGACCAATGCTGGTGAGATGGTTGCTACCTATATCAAGTAATTGAACTTTGGACATTGTTAACGAAATATCCCAGTTGAAGCGACTCATATGAATGTTCCGTAGATACAATTCCTCGACTTCACCAAAAATGGGGTATTGATTGAAATTCAAATCTCTGATGGGATTGTGGGATAAATGTAATCTCCGAGCTTTTGTAAAAGTCAAGAATTCCAGATCTTTAATCCGATTTTTCTCCAGATTAAGTGTATCCAACCTGAAGTTTTTGAATACCTGGCTTTCGATTATTGTCAGGTTACCATGGTAAAAAGTAAAATTTGTAATGTTGGCATTATTAACAAAGGCTTCATTCCGGATTTTGGTCATATTACAACTGAAGCATTCAAATGTAGTAATCCAGAGAAAGCGGCTAAGTAGGTTCTGATTCAGTTCCAGAAATTTGGCATTTCTGAGGATCAGATGTTTAACATCACGTGTCACATTAGGCGGGATATCTGCATCGCTGGGTTCTTTAGACATGTCACAGTCCGCTTTTAAAGTCTGGCCGGTACGTTCGCAGAAACAAGGGTACCCAGAACAACCAGAAGTCGTATGAAGCAATGAAATGAAAACGGCCAATAGTAGCAGTTCCATATTCATATTTTCTGGGTGAATACGCATGTTTGGTGTTTGCGATGATGATCGTGGAAGACAATTAGTTTGGTATGTTTTATCCTAGATTTATCTCGATATACGCATCTTTGAATCTAATGACCTCTCATTCCATTTCGTTTAGCCTAATAGCTAGAGGATGCTTTTGTCAATTCTGAAAAAGGGAAATTATACACACCCGGGAATTTCGCGTCATAATTATTCCTATTGCGAGCGCGCGGCCATTTTGCCGGTCAATTCGGGTCAAATATTGTCCAACTTTACACACGATTTTCTAGTAGTTGATGATGCCCTTTAACGTATGTAATGATTTGTATATAAAGCTTACATGTATCTGGATTAATATATTTTTATCCTGTGCAGTTTAAACAATTCGTTTTCTTCCATCTCTATAAGGAATTACATCATATTTTTTTCGAAAATCAGCGGTAAAACTTGACACATGTTAGCTATTTTTTCTCTAATTGTAATTTGAATTTTAAAATTCCGCCTCGGCCAAGACACAATTTGTATATTTAGCTCAAACATGTTTCAAATTTGATAAAGATTCATCCATAAATGAAAAAATGCCACCGGCGCAAAAAATGTTGTGTTTTCGTCAAATCTTTGCTGACGATGCGGTTTTTAGTTTACGAAGAAATTGCCCCTCCATAGTGAAGCCGTAACTTTACTAATATTGAACCTATCAACTTGAAATAAACAGGATTAAAATAAGCAATTCTTTAGAAACACGATGATATGTATCATGCCTATCTAACAATATATATTATGAAAGAAAATCATAGTTTAAAACACCTATCTGAATAGAAAATTTCATTGCAAACATGAAAAACTGACGGGTTGTACTTATACGTCCGCGCGATGTTTATACACGTTGCATAGGACGTTGCTATGCACAACAGCGCACCAAGCGGAGGAATAATTATGACGCGAAATTCCCGTGTGTGATAACATTTAATACAACAAACTCGACTTTCTCTACAAACTATATATGAATATTCGCATACTCATGTTCTATTTCAATGAATGTATTATTACACGTTGTGTATTTATGTACTTACAGATATGACTACCGCGTAACGTCTTCTATAAATGGCAAACATTATCCGTTGTCCCTTGGACTTTGGCATTATTATTGTGTTATAAATTCTCACCGATAGTATAATTTGATTTGAATTGATAGCATTTAGTTACTTATTAATTAAACGGCAGTTAAAAGTAAACCAATTCCCGATCTCTTATCTAAGTATTCATTTGAGATTGTTATATCTTTCAGATTTTCAATTGAGATCAACCAAGTGTCCCGAATGCCCAGAGGATGCGTGTAGTAGTTATAAGTATATCAACACCCTTGGTATACGCAGCTAACGAAAATTGACCGGTACGGGTCAAAAGCTGGACCGGTACGGGTTAACGGTTTTATTTGAATTTAAAATAGCCATAACTTGCTCAATATTGACTTCCTCGTGTCTAATTTGAAATATATGATGCCTACCGATGCTTTTAAGTACCCCAATTTTTTACAGATTTTTAAACGGACCAAAACTCTCTAAATGTGCATTTATGCTCTTTTCTCTCGAGAACGACTGTCTCATTTTCACGATAACTTTTATTTAGTACTTCTAACATATAAGATCTATTTTTCCCCATCAAGGTATGATGTAAATGACATGCTATTTACATCTTGTGAGTTTCAATGACGCGCGTTTGATTTTATAAAAAATGCCAAACTTTGTGACAAAGAATATCATCCTGCTTGCAGCGAGAAGACGGACCGGTTCGGGGCAATCTGCTTGCAGCGAGAAGACGGACCGGTTCGGGGCAATAGCTTTTTTTTTTTTTTTTTAAATATTTATTCAAGTTTTAGATTTACATTATAATATAAGGTTACATGATAATACATATTATAAGAAAGTATATAAGGGGGGGGTTTACAGGGGAGGGGAGAGGCTATAATTACTAGATCTAAGTATAGTGGGTCAAATGTGAGAGTTTGGTTTTTCTATTTAGGTCTTCTTTTTACCCCCTTTCTGACTCTGTATGTATGTTTTGTAGTATTTGGTTTCCAGCTCAGAAAGGGGGGTTATACATAATTTTCTATCATTGAATTTATAAGATTCCATTTTCTGTCATGCAATTCTTCTTGTCCATGTGTTTTTGCAATATATTTGTCAGCCTTCTTTTCTCTTATTAAGTATCTTTGAAAAGCATTTATGGTAGGTGTTTTTTCTTCCAATTTATTAATGTACATGAATCTCTTTATGAGTAAGGTTGCTAGGTTTTGGCTGAGAGACAATCTTGGAGATCCTAACATAAAAGCTTGGTCATCAGGTATCTCTTCATTCAGGATTCTGTAGCATTGTTGTTTGAAATCTTCCATCACTTGGCATTTCAGGAAACCATGTTCTATATCGTCTATTTGGTTGCTATTGCACAGTACGCATGTTTGGGTTTTTACTTTTTTCATTTTGAAAAGTATTTTTCTGAAGTATATTGCCCTATTTAGTATCCTATATTGAAAATATTTCATTTTCGTATCTTTTGTCAGTTTGTTTATTAGATTATATATTTTTTTCCATTCTATGTCTTTTTGAAAGTAGTCTCTCCATTTGGTTTGACCTGTAGGGGTCTTTTGCTTGAACTTTTTGCTGAGCTTTTGGTACGTTTTTTTATTGTCCCATGTTTTTAATCTCTCAATATTATCTTCGTCATCTTGTAAGTTGGTGTTTGCCATTAGGGTTTTCCACCTTGGTGGTATGCATCTTATAACAGTGTGGTAGTTGAGAAAGGTCTGGTTTTGTAAATTATATTGATTTCTTAGTTGATCATAACTTTTCAAGTGACCATTTTGGTATAAGTGTTTAATTCTTGTTATACCTTTTCTTTCCCATTCTTTATTTTGAAGCGGGTTTTTGTTTTGCTTTATACATTCATTGTTCCATATGATTTCATTGGAGGGGTTGTCAATATCCTGTTCTTTTATATATTTTACCTCGTGCCATATTTTAAGAACTTCATCCAAGCTTTTCAAATTAGTTGTAATTACATCAGACTTGTAAGGGTTTTCAATGTTATACTCTAAAATGTTATTGTCTCTGTTTTTGTCTAGTTTGTTCATCCAGATTCTTTTCCACTTACTGTTGCAATCTTCATTTTTTAGTTTACGCAGCCATTTTAGCTTTAGGTTTTTTGCATACGATTCAAGGTGTGTCATATCTAGTCCTCCTTCTTCTGTTGTTCTCCTAAGCGTTGCTCTTGCAATTTTGTCATTTTTATTTGACCATATAAAGTTGTAGAGGAGATCTTCTAGGTCTTTTAATGTGTTGTCTTGTGGTATTGGAACTGTTGTCAAAACGTATGAAAGTTGGGACTGAATTAAGGACTTTATTACACATATTTTACCAACTGGCGTTAGAGATCTTTCTTTCCATGTTTTAATTAAATTCTTAATCTTCTGTATAGGTTTTTCTAAGTTGGCTTTCCCGATAGGTCTCCCATCCAATGGAATTGTAATTCCCAGGACCTTGATTTCAGTTTTTTCTAGTTTTGTCCCTACCTCATTGCATATGTTTTCTGCCTCTGCTGTTATAGCTCTGGTACTTTCTCCTAGTATACCTATCTTTGTTTTTTCTTTATTTATCTTTAGTCCTGAAACTTTACCAAATTTTTCAAGCATGTCTACGGAGGGTTTAATTGATGCTTTGTCATTTAGGTACAACACTGTGTCATCGGCATACTGTGACACCTTACAGTTCACATTGTCTATATCAATGCCTTTTATGTCTTTTGTTGCTCTAAGTGCAGTACTTAGTATTTCGGCACACATAATAAAAAGATAGGGCTTAATGGGCAGCCTTGACGTACTCCTCGTTCAATGTTTATGTAATTTGATGTATATCCGTTGTTGATGATAGTGCTTGTGTTGTCTTTATATATTGTTCTTATCCAGTTTGTTATTCGTTCTCCAAAGTTAAAGTATTTCATAGTTTTATAGATAAAGTTATGTTCTAGTGTGTCAAAGGCTTTTTGAAAATCTATCATCATTACTATACCATTCCTGCCTTCTTGTTGAAGTCTTTCATTTGTATCTATGAGAAGCCTTATGTTTTCCCCTATGTATCTGCCTTTAAGAAAACCAGTCTGGTCTGTGTTTATGACTTTTTCTAGGTTGCTTTTAATTCGGTTAGCAATTGTTTTAGTAAGAATCTTGTAATCTGTGTTTAAAAGTGTAATTGGTCTCCAGTTTTTCAGTTTTGTGGCATCTTGGCCCTTTTTTGGTATGATTGTAATTATTCCGCGTCTTTGTTCTGTAGTTAATAGACCGTTTTCAAGAGAGAAGTTATAGCTTAGTATTAGTGTGTCTTTGATCTCTTTCCAGAAGTGTTTATAGAACTCTACTGGAATTCCATCTGTTCCAGGTGACTTTTTATTCTTCATATCTCTAAGCGCTAGTACTAACTCTTCCTCTGTTAGATCTTGGTCACATTTTTCCTTGTCATATTCATTAATTGTTGTAATATTTCTTACTTGTGGAAAAAAAATGTCGTCATACTCATTTAGATTGTTTTTGGTTGCTTCGTAGAGCTTGCTGTAGAAAGCTGCTTGTTCCTTTGCTATTTCAGCTTGTGTTTCCACGCTTTCACCATTGTCTTTAATAACCTTTGACATTGTTCTGTTGTTGAAGTTTCGCTTTTCAAGTTTCAGAAAATAAGATGTTGGTTTTTCTCCTTCTGCTATCCATTTTGTTCTGCTTCTGAAAATTGTTGCTTCTGCATTTTGTGTATTTATTTGGTCAATGTCCTCAATTATATCCTGTAATTCGCGGTTTAGAAGTTCTTTCTGTCTTATTTCATTTGCATCTTTAATTTTATTTTCAATTTCTTTTGCCTTACTTTCCTTTAGTAGTAGGTCTGTATTTGTTTTCTTTTTCTGAGCCTTTGAGTACTCAATCGACACTTTTCTAATGTTGTATTTTGTTAGTTCCCATATTCCATTCGGGTTCAAGTTGTTCCTTTGTTTAGTGTTACAGATTGTTGCTTTAATTAGATTATCATATTCAGGTTCTCCTATATATCTGGCATTCATTTTCCATATTCCTGGACCTCTTGGCTGATCTAGAAGTTTAATACATATAGAAATTAATTCGTGATCTGCTATTTTGTATTGGTTCCCTGGGGTTCTTTCTATTGCTGTCTGTTCCGTGTTCTGTGCTAGTTCATGGCTTACTAGAAAATAGTCTAATCGGCATTTTATTGTGCTATTATGATTTTCCCAAGTATACACTTTGGAGTTTGGATTTTTAATTCTAAATATGTCTATTAATGTACATTCTTCCTGGAGATTTAAGATTTGCGCTCGTGTCTTTTTATGGCTTGCTATGTTTCCTCCTTCTTTATCTAAGAGTGGATTGAGTGGCACATTAAAGTCTCCTCCACATATCGGTTGGTAGTCCCGGTTTTGTTCAAGTTTTTCCATGAGTTCCTCAAAGAGCTTACTTTCGTCATGGTTATGTCCGTATACATTTATTAATATTACTTTTTTACCTGCTATTTTACATTTGACAATGATATATCTGCCGTTTTTGTCAATTTCATTGTCTATAAGCTCAATGTCTGCTTTTTGTGAAAATAGTATCGCTACACCTACTGTTTGTGTGCTAAATTGGGTGAAGAATGCTTTAAAACCCCATTCAAACTTCCATTGGACTACTTGTTTCGCTGCACAATGTGTTTCCTGTAGAAACATTACATCAAACTTCAGTCTCCTGGTCATGTTGAAAACCTTTCTTCTTTTAACCTTACTTTGTATACCTCTCACATTTATTGACCCTATTTTAAGTGATACCATTTATAACATATTTTATTTGTAAAATTTTATGCTCTCCCAGTCCCCTGTACGCCCTTACATCGTTATTAATTGTTAAGTCGTAGGCGAGGTCGAGGAAAAAGGGGGTCCCACTAGATGGGTACCGCACCCCTGCATACCTCAACATATTGAAAGGAAAAAACTCAGTTCAGTCTCTAAGCTTGAGCAAAAGTTAAGCTTAGCTCAAAACTAGGCTACAAAAGGTTTTCAAAAAATAATGATTAAAAAATTCTGGGTACTCCACCTTTGTCTTATCTTGCGGGGATTAGTCCTCTATTTAACTGTGACGCAATGTTTTCACTTTTTATCGCCCTGCCTCGAAATTGAATGGTTTTGATTGAGGAAAAGATCGAAGTTTTCAAAAATTACCTCGGACTATATGCGCATCCCTAAGCAACAATGAATTTGATTGGATAGTAATTACAATTGTGAGGGCGCCTCTGATTGGTTGCTATGTGTGATTGTTCTCGGTAGCCAAAAACCTTTTATATGTTAACAGAAAGATCGATCCTTTCCTCAGAAAAATAAAATGGAGACTTTGGGCTTATGTGGTACTAATAGATGCGTCAAATATATCTGAGAACATGTGATTATTAATTTGGAAATAAGGATACATTTAGTAGTGTCTTAGTGAAAGTTCTGTTGTTATTGTTGTTGATGAAGTGCTTGGTCATGGTCTATTTGCTTCTGCTTTGTTTATGTCTAGGTTTTATACTCATAAAGTTAGTGGGGAATAACGATTACTGTCTTTGTTGTGCGTTCCTTGATCGAGCCATTGCTTCTTTATATATTTCCTCTAAGTTGACCTTGTTACCGTCTATTATGAGCTTGAGTCCTACCCATCTGCATCTCTTTTGTTCTGCTTTAGCTTGTTTGATAATAGTTTTAAAAGCTTGATTTTTGATGGGGCAATAGCTGATGAAATTCTTTGTCACAAAGTTTGGCATTTTTTATGAAATCAAACGCGCGTCATTGAAACTCACAAGATGTAAACAGCATGTCATTTACATCATACCTTGATGGGGAAAAATAGATCTTATATGTTAGAAGTACTAAATAAAAGTTATCGTGAAAATGAGACAGTCGTTCTCGAGAGAATAGAGTATAAATCCGCATTTAGAGAGTTTTGGTCCGTTTAAAAATCTGTAAAAAATTGGGGTACTTAAAAGCATCGGGAGGCATCATATATTTCAAATTAGACACGAGGAAGTCAATATTGAGCAAGTTATGGCTGTTTTAAATTCAAATAAAACCGTTAACCCGTACCGGTCCAGCTTTTGACCCGTAGCGGTCAATTTTCGTTAGCTGCGTATACCAAGGGTGATCAATAGATTTTCTTTTTTGTACCAAGATTTTGAAAATTATAACGAACCGGAAGATAAAACAGTATAGTTGTTTAAAAATGTTTAGAAAGAAATTAATATTAATTAAGAATATGTGTAAAATCAAATCGAAGATTTCATTGTTCTATGACATCATAATCCTAATCATTTTTGTTACCATGGTAACCGGTGACGCTCAGAAAAATACCAAAGGAAAATCAACAGTAATTTTATATCATGTTTGGACACTGTATTCATTGCTGAATATGTGACATACTGTTATAGGTTGTATTATTTCATTAATAAGTATATTCATTAATGTTCATAATACTGTCATTATTCTTCCATCGATTCTAATCCTTCAAAGTAGTTACGAGCATTTTGTAGGCATTTGTGATGCCTTTTCACCAAGTCCTGAAAGACGTGACACATTGGTGTGTGAATTCCCCAATGATCTCATTACTGTCCTCAACGTGGATGATACCTCGTAATTTGTTCTTCACTGTGGGGAAGAGATAGAAATCACAGCCAGCTAAGTTTGGGGAATACGGTACATGTGGTACACGGCCACAACCGATTACCTCATGAATGTGGGTTTGGTTTGCTTTTTTCTAATTTTTGACTTTGAATGTCTTTGATAAGGCAAACCTCAACCACAGCTGAAATCTATTCCAAATAGAGGAGTTTCTAAATAACTTTGAAATCTCGCTAATTCTCGTTTTTATATAAGATTATAAGATATTTGCACTTTTTCCTCTAATGAATTACTTTTCTTCATTTTTGATAGCATATTTGGATTCAGTGACAAATTTTCTCCAATTATAGCTTTGATTTAAACAGTTATGTCATTTAAATCACTTTCCATGACATTGAAAAAAACTTGGGCCAAATCTCCATTGGTGCAATGCTAAAATTCATTAAAACATTGGTTTATTTGTATGACAACTAATATTTTCATGGTTAATCACAATATGTACATTGACAGGGTCATCCAATAGTATGCCATTCAAGTTTTAGACAGATTCAACCAACACTCTTTGATAAATCATGAAATTAAGTGACTGTTGCAAGTTTCTAGCATTGGAGCGAGTGGAGGTCTGGCCCTAGAAAATCAAAGACAAACAAGGGTGACATCTATTATGTCTTGATGAATTGAAGATTATAATCAGTTCTTATGTCAACAGAATTTTCCTTACAAATTCTCTTGTTTTCTTAAAATACAAAACACTTTTCCCCATATAATAGAGTGATTGATTGCTGGGACATAATGCTTCATATCGGCAATTAAGCATTTATATCTAAAGTCTTGAAATTGTCCACCATTTTGTCCAACTACAAGATTATGAATGGCTAAAATTTGTGGGGGAGTTATGCTTTCACTAAAATTGTCAAAAATAAGAAAAAGCCAAAACACTCCCACAATCATGGGGTTACAACCACTGGAATCAATCACATTTTGTAAGCAAAGGCGGGTAGACTAAGACAGGATAAACATGACAAAAATAGAACCAACGGTACAGAAATCCCTGATCACCCCTCGTATATGCTGACGCAACATAGCCCTACGTCCTGTGTCATTTCTACTGCTGTATATCATATTGGACTAACCTATTTACAGAATTGCTTTCTGTTGGCCCGAGTGACGCTAATTTTCTCACCATGTTCCCGAAAAGTAGTGACAATGATTTAATCATTTTGTTTTCTATTATCTATTTTATTTTTGTTTCTTGACTGAGAGATGTCATGACTGACCATTGGGTCACAGTACGATTCACATAATGTCATTTTGATTTAATAGATGTTCAATGATGTTACCTCTGATATATTAAAGGCACAAACAGATCTATGGGGGTGATAAAATTACAAGCAACATGTTCAATTGACCTACCAATCTGTTTCTTACAATCTCAATTACGATATCTCCCAAAAGATCTTCGGTATATTATAAATTGGTGAAGTTATAATGGATTCAATGTGCAAAATGGGTGAAAATGTGTAAATTCTCCCAAATAATAAGAATGGTAACCATTCTTATAGACAAAACAGCACATTATTGTAAACATCTTTAGTTTTCCTGAAATTAAGTGTGCACTTTGAGGATTTTTAGAAAATAGACATGAAAAGGAATGACATAATCCAGAAATATTTTAAAATTGAAACAATTTTTGTTAGGCTGCTCGCTATCTCTTGATTCTCTCTTTGATACTTAGACTTCTCTATACATTGTCGTGTGGGGTTTTCACCTAGATTAGGCAATAAGTCGATTAGGTTTCGATTGATTATTAGGAGAAAGTAAATAAAAACTATACTATTCTCTATGTTCCCAGTGACTCGGCAAGCTCGCTGTCATTCACGATCAACATGGCCTCTCTCATTTCGTCACCGATGTCAATTGTTGCGTTGTAGTCAAAAAGAGAATTAATTTATGAAACACAAAATGCAATCAAGTATATTGCGACGTAGCGTTATTCGCTGCAATAAAATACAAATATAAAAGTGCGACATAAATGTATAAATATAAATGATAATGACAAATGATGATGATAATGATAACACTGCGCGTGTCAACACTCGAATTAAATACCCGATTCATTGCAGTGTTTTCTTTTACTGCGTATCTAACATCTTTCAATTTGATTCAGATAAGTTGCATTTTCATTTAAGTCAACCGCTTTAGGGCTAAATATTCATTAGGTAAAAGGTATGTAAAATATGATCCCTGATCGCTAAGCTATCTCCTTAATTGGAATTCTATGATAGAGTAATTGATACTTAAGATCCTCACTGACAACAAAACGGCATCTATTGGGAAGGACAATACTTGTTATCACAACATTGATACAATATTTAACAAACACGTTTTCATCTCATCACTTCATTATATTCGCATAATTCTTTAAACGGTAATTTCCTCACGTTTCGTTAACTCATTAGAGTTATTTATTGGCGACCGATAATGAATATTGTCTTTAGTGTTATCCCACGAGACGATACCTTTTACGCCTTTTAATAGTCTAGTAGCTAGTCATTTCATTTTGATTGTGATAATAGCCGTACAGAGATAATATCTCATCTTTTCAACGATACATAGTGGCGCGATAAATTGAGCAGTTCCAGCGAGGTTTTACCGATATCTACGAACTGTAATTATTTGAAGTAATTAGGTAGTAGTTTTGTGCTAATTCCACCATGGGGACTTCGATTCTTGAGTTCTTGTGTAACGCTTGAATAAATTTTGTTTCCTCTTTGCCCACCAAGACAATTGATATTATCAAATCTCAAATGTGTTTATTTGTAGACCGTCTAATATGACGCAAAACCAAAACATTCTAAAAACCATACAACTATGATATTTCAAATTAATAAACCTTATAATGTACAAACATTTGTTATTGTTGTAAAGATTTGGTTCTATGTGAATGTGTGATTTCATTTATCAAAATTATGAAATGTTTTTTTAAGTTATCGTTTTCGATGGGAACTTCTGTTCATTGCGGATGATGAACGAAGTGTGCAATGGCTAATACATAATTATTGCTGGCGAAGGATTTGATATTGGAACCAATCAGAGTAATGCGCCAGAAAGTGGATATTGAAATTCAGCCAATAAGAAATATCTTCCTCTGACAATAATAGGCAAAAGGCACCATCACCAAGCCAATATATAAGTAAAAAGGGGATTGAAAATACAATGCTGTAAATAATTGTATTATTTAGTAGTATTTTGAGGGTATTTCTCTTGCAACGCATGGCTGTTTGTGATTCCTATCACTAACTCAACGAAAGTGAAGAACATTTAAAAATGTCGGAAACAGTCAGCTCTACTGACGTTAGTTCTAACACCAAAAAGGAAAACAAACAAGAAATAGAGATTAAAGAAAAGCACCCAGATGTTTTAAAATCATCGTTTAGTATTAGTAGTATTTTGGGATGCGATAAAGAAGAGACAAGGTCAGATGAAAAAGAAAATGCTTACAAACTGTCAACGAACCAAACGGATGATTCCTCTACAATTCAAAAACAATCTGAAGATTCTTCTCAACCATCGAATGATGCAAAAATAACAATAACTAATGATATAAGTGCGTCAAATAAGCAGGGACTGACACACGCAGTCGAAGGAGTACCTCGGAGACCACTACACCCTGGCTTTCCACCTTTTATAGATCCACGATTATTGGTTGCTAAGGCCCCATGGTTTCCATGGATACAACCCCATCCGTATCTTCACCTACCTGGATTACATCGTAAGTTTGAATCAAATATGCAAAATGCCCTTTAGCATTTTCATTTCATGTTACTTTTCAGCATTTTTCACATAGGAAGTAATTTATGTCATTTATAAGCAATGTGAATATTCAAATCCCATAAATATCCAATCATTTTAAGTGAATCAGCTACATATGTACAGTGTACATTGAAACACTTGGAGCACAAAACTGTTAAAGATATTACGTAAATATGTAAATAACATTTATGATAATAACGTTTATGACAATTGCTATTCTTTACTTCAGAATCCACTGGCTCCCATTCATTGAACAGCCACCAGCTAACAATAGGTGCAAGACCTGCCTTGCATCCTGCTCTCTCGCCACACAAACCAACTCTCGAGTCACCTTGTCAGTCTCGCGATGGTCAGGACCCGGAAGACAGTGATATGGATGACCAAGATGATGGCGATATGAAACAGGTCGACGCGACGTCGGCTGCAGAATCAAAAATGGAACGCAAAAAGAAAACGAGGACAGTATTTTCCAGAAGTCAAGTCTTTCAACTAGAATCAACTTTCGATATGAAACGGTATTTATCAAGTTCCGAGAGAGCGAGTCTAGCGGCGTCGCTACATTTAACTGAAACGCAGGTAAAAATCTGGTTTCAAAACAGAAGAAATAAATGGAAAAGACAAATTGCTGCCGAATTAGAGGCGGCGAATATGGCGCACGCAGCCCAGAGAATGGTGAGGGTACCCATACTTTATCATGACAATATCCACCAGTCATCTGGCACTTCTCCGCGTGTCACGACCCCTCAGTATAACCCAATGTATCTACCGCTAGCCCAAATCCGACCTAGCATACAATCCTCCATGTAAACTTCCTATAGAAAGACTGACTATAAGACTGAGTTACTATATTTCAGAAATGTCAGTTAAACATTGGATAAACTTTACATTATTTCATATGGAATAAATACCTGTTATAAACGTTATCCGAGAACCAAAATAAAATGCAAACTTTATTATATTTTTATTTTTCGATATTTGGTAGTGTATTACTAAAATGTTTTTTTCTTCACTTAGGATAAGCATGTTTTAGTTTCAAACGTGTCGATCTCGTGAAATAACTAAGAATCGTCTCTATTTAATGCAGTTCAGCAATTTGTGAATAACACAAGACAACATCGCATCCCTGAAACCATCGTGTACAATGTCATCTACAAAATTAATTCCTCTTATCCTATTAAATTGGGATATGTTTTCATTGAATGTTAAAAATGTGTAAAATTGTATGTGTTCATACAAAGTACATGCAGATACTTTATGATAATTTCCAGGAATACTGTCATGTAAATATTTTTGGTAACCATAACGAAATATTTGTCTTTAGGAATTGAACGTCTAAGGACACCCGAAGAAGATCATTATCTAATATATTCTAGTTATTTTAACATTTTGAAAATTTTGCAGTGGATAATCTTGCGATCGTCTTTCTAAATGCTAATGCTTTTACTGCGTCAAAGTGAAACAACTTTACATGTGAAAATTCACACAATTTCAAAAGTTCATGCCAAAACATAGCTCCTCAAGACTAATCATTTACCAGATTAATAAGAGCAACCCAATTATTCGGGAATTTATCCTGGATTTTTCCTCAAAATAGTTTCTAATCTTCACCATTTGTTCTACTTTTTCTTGGATAGTAATAATTTGAAACATCATTTAATTGTTAAGATCAGAATTCATGATCCTCACTATTTGAAGCTTTAAACGAGATAGAAATATTCAAAATTAAATTTCAATGGAAGATGCAACTTCAAGTTGTGATTTGGTTTGATCGAAATACCCATTAACCCTAATGTCTGCAACCTTTTTTATAACACTAAGTAAACGTTATTCTCTTCAGAAATGTATTGTTTTTTCGAAGAAGTATGCCAACAAAGGTCGAACCGAGGGCAACGTGACCCAAGGGGTGAAACATTATGACATTTTGCGAAAATTTTTGATCATCTTTCAGAATAGTTTTTTGGTACTGAAACTGTTGTTACGTAAAAGAAGCATATACTGTCTTTTTGAAAAACAGTATAAGTTTGCTTTCAAATAAAACAAACGTCAAGATAAAAGCGTTTAAGAACTGAACTTAAATGCATTCTTAAAGATAGTAGGCATCGCGAAAACCCATTGAAATTATTGAAACAACCAATTCAACTTATTCTTGTCCTAATATCCATATTTCAGGATGCACTACAAAAAACAACACTTATTTAGTAAGAAAATAGATCAATGCTTCAGTTGGTATCATTCCAACATAATGTTGGTTCAAGGTTTTGCCTAGTAACCTCATAGAAACGGAATATGTATGGATATCTAAACACAAATGTCAATGGGAAAGGAGCAAAAATCTGGAAAGAAACCTCGCAAGAAAAGCAAGCTCTGGGTGTAAACCCGTCATAAGAAAAACAGACCCTTTATGATCTAACGTGAGAGTAAATGATGTCCAATCGCACCCCCCCCCCCCTCCAATCAAGAACCAATATCAGAATTAAGTATCAGAAAAATTTAAAAATAATTGAAAGCCAATACTCATAACATCAAAACTAGTTGTAGAAACGGTACTCATAAAATATTTTATTTAATCAACTTCTGATCACTAACTTTGCCCCTCTACCCCTAGTCACCTTGATTTTTACGCCAAAAAGTGTCGGCGCGGCCCAAGGTAGAAAAATAATGAGGGCACAAATAAAATTTGCAAAAAATGCTATCGAAAAATCGAGGGGGTCAAATTGAACACCCCCTCCCACTGCAGACACTAGGGTTGAATATGCATTAAAATGTATATTAAAAATGGCTTTGAAGGTAAATAATGTAACATGACAACTTTTAGAACTGAACTGAACTGAACTGAACTCAGGGTTTTACTATTCACATGAAACTAACTTTTTAGCTTTAATCCATGATCATTTTGCATGCATCTTTTTGTTATATTTATCATTCTTATTTGTTAATATAAATTCTAATATGATATGTGACGTCACAAAAGCTAGAACAATAGAGTAGATGCGAGAAGAAATAATCTTGCACACACGGGAATTTCGCGTCATAATTATTCCTCCGCTTGGTGCGCTGTTGTGCATAGCAACGTCCTATGCAACGTGTATAAACATCGCGCGGACGTATAAGTACAACCCGTCAGTTTTTCATGTTTGCAATGAAATTTTCTATTCAGTTCAGATAGGTGTTACATTATAAACTATGATTTTCTTTCATAATATATATTGTTAGATAGGCATGATACATATCATCGTGTTTCTAAAGAATTGCTTATTTTAATCCTGTTTATTTCAAGTTGATAGGTTCAATATTAGTAAAGTTACGGCTTCACTATGGAGGGGCAATTTCTTCGTAAACTAAAAACCGCATCGTCAGCGAAGATTTGACGAAAACACAACATTTTTTGCGCCGGTGGCATTTTTTCATTTATGGATGAATCTTTATCAAATTTGAAACATGTTTGAGCTAAATATACAAATTGTGTCTTGGCCGAGGCGGAATTTTAAAATTCAAATTACAATTAGAGAAAAAATAGCTAACATGTGTCAAGTTTTACCGCTGATTTTCGAAAAAAATATGATGTAATTCCTTATAGAGTTGGAAGAAAACGAATTGTTTAAACTGCACAGGATAAAAATATATTAATCCAGATACATGTATGCTTTATATACAAATCATTACATACGTTAAGGGGCATCATCAACTACTAGAAAATCGTGTGTAAAGTTGGACAATATTTGACCCGAATTGACCGGCAAAATGGCCGCGCGCTCGCAGCGCCTCTAGCGGAGGAATAATTATGACGCGAAATTCCCGGTGTAAAAGCGTAGGTGGTCCTATCAAATTATGGTCCTAGTCTCTATTGATTTATAAGGTGACCTGATTACAATTATTTTCCTTATTATTTATACACAATCAGGGCCAGAAAGGGCCGTTAGGAAAGGGGACCATAATCCCAAGGGGACCATAATTTCTTTCACACCGGGTGTGATTTACGTTAAATATTCAAAATCCAGTCAAAGCGATGTCATATTTGAAATCAGCATGTGAAAGTACATACAGAAATATTGTTTCGAAAATTGTCCATCAACTTTGAAAATTTAATTGTTTTGAAAATGTAACTTCTTGTTCGGGTTGATTCCCCATAGACCCCATGTTACAAAATCACAAAAAGTGAATTATCTTTTCTTGTATTGGACAGATAACATTTTCTTTAACTGGACATATTTTAATCAGCATAACTATTAGATACATAAGGGTTATATGAAAATTGAATCACGCAAATAGATGTAATTTAATTTAAAGGGAACTTATACCCGCCATGCTATCTGACCCGAACGAGCCACCTGGTGGTGAATCTGGTAACAACCTACTCGCATCTGCGTTATTGATTTACTGGTCTTCATTGGAGTATATATGACCGTTTAAATTCATAAATTCAAAAAGTTCTGTTTCTAGTCTGTTTCTTGTCAATTTTATGATTTATGTTAAATATGTGACCTCACATTTCATTCTGCGCTTTGCCAAATACCTCAATCGCTACGCAATTTTGGTATTTTAAAAACGAAAAAACAGAATAAAATTTTCGGTCATACGCCATAAATCAAAAAAACGTTACTCCTTAATGATAACACTATAGCATTTTATGCTACGTCACAAATTTTTATTGTGATGTCATACAAGTGGTTGATTTCTTTTTCATAAAACGCATTTTCCGATTTCATAAGTAGCTGCATTTATATTAATTTTTTGAATAAGACGGGGAAATATCATAATATTATTTTAAGATTCAATGAAACAAATGCGGATTATAACGCCTTAGAACGTAAAACAATGACTAAAGGTTTGGGATGAGTAACTATGCACTATTTTATGAACTCCAATTAATAAAACACTATTTAATGCACTAGAGAGTTGAAAGAGAGAAAAACGTGTTAAAACATCCCGGGATTATTTTCTACTCGCAGCTCGAGGCGAGATGTAATTGACGAGCCGAACCTTTTGGAATCATAAAATGATGTAAATGTTTTTATATCAAGCAGAGCGTTTTGCATATGATAGTGATTTCAATAAATAGCAACATCCAGCCTAAATGACAGCCAGATACCTGATCCAGGCGTTTATCAGCTCATAAAAGTTTCTACTTTGACAATAATCCCGGTATTTAGCCTAATAGAACCACTTAAGGAAATGAATGTGGAAACAAAACGCTTTAGCATTATTACAATATTCCGTTTACACTTTATCTGAACATCCGATATATGTTCACTTTTGAGAAATTAATCGTTAGCTTGTCATTCTGAATACCCGATAGGCAAGTTCTCCTGTTCCAAGCGTGCGATTATAGTAAGATGATGATAGGTTATTAAAATGGAACGCCTAAAGCCACTGTGAAAACAGGGCATCGTATTAGCTGTTAAAAACAATTGTAGATCAAAATGTCTTGGGGAACTAGTAAACGATGAGCATGATGATACCCGATGATTATTACTGAAATCCTTGTACTGCACAATACTCTAAATCTATTAGAATGTAAAGGGCAGTATACAATTGCGTAATACATGTACGACACGAGTACAAATTACGGTGCCCAAATTGCATATCTATAAGGTGGGGTATTTTAATTACATACATGTAATGGATTTCAAATAACATTCAAATGCGGCCATTTGAATTATTTGGATGCAGTTTTAAAGTTTTACATAATTTTGTGAGTTTTTATCAAATTCTCATTAATTCTGAATGGACAGCTATATTTAAATGATTTCTTGGGTTTTGATTTTGTAGTCCTAATGTGAGTACATGTGTTATTTCTATCCATGATCGTTGGATGTGTTAT